TCTGCCTAATTTGGGTCTCTACTGCTTCCCCCATATACCCAGCATGTAAAGGCACAGAAACTATCTGGCCAGACGTGAAAGTTTTCCATTGTTATTCATCCCAGCCAGAAGTTTATTATACTGACAAACATATCTGCATCCATAATGGCCAGCTATACTTTACTGGATTATCAAAACAGAGTTACCAGTACACTAAAGCTGGTGCCATAGCCTGTAACACCCCCAGAAGCACAAATTTGGGTTTGTTGGGATCTTGCCCCTGCACCCAAAGCTGAGAAACTGATCAAAGAAACTGTACAACTTGTAGCTCCTCCGGCCGCCCAACAGTCAAAGTTAACCAACCCCCTTCCCTCAACCGTGGGAAGTAGGCCAAAATCTGTTTATAAATTTGGCTGAAAATATAGCCCGGACACTTGGGTGTCGCCAATTGTTGGGTATGTGGAGGAGCCCTAATGACTGAAGTGTGGCCTTGGGAGGGAACGAGTCTGGATGCATACCAGCTCCTCCAGTGGAACCATTCTGTAACTGTTAGAACAGATAACGTACCCTAGAAGCGAATCCTCTCCTCAAAAGTAATTGGAGAAGACTGTTTAAGCAGAGCGAGCTCTGCTTATACTCAATGGGTAGGAGACACTCCTTGCAAAAGGCTATTATACTGGAATTCAACCCACCAGACCTGGTGGCCAACAAGGCCTGTTGGGTATTGGGCATCTGCTTGTGCAACTAAATCTTCTCCATGTACTATTGACACCCAAACTTTAAGTAACTGTACAGTACTATCTTCTGAGCAGGCTAACCCGTTCCAAGGTATCCCCATTATAAGTCAGAGCTGGACAGATCTGTCCTCTGTAAATCCAGACCTCTGGAAAGCCCCTGAAGGGCTATTCTGGATATGTGGAAAGGTTGCAAATGCCCAGCTCCCAGCACTATGGAAAGGCACACGTACCACAGGAATAGTCCAGCCAGGAATTTTCCTCCTGCCTAACCCAAGGGGGGATGAACTAGGCATTCCCCTTCATGAAGGCCTCAAAACGCGAGATGCTCGATCCCTCCACCAAGTTCCTAATATTTCCTAATACAGGAGGGACCCAGGTTTGGAAAGATGACGAATGGCCACCCCAGAGAATTATAAATACCTATGGCCCCGCCACATGGGCACAAGTTGGAAGCTGGGGATACCACACGCCTATATATATGCTAAACTGCATTATTAGGCTACAAGCTGTATTAGAAATTATAACTACTCAGACAGCCACAGCTTTTGAGCTTGCTGCTCAGCAACAAGCCCAAATGCACACAGCTATTTATCAGAACCGCTTAGCTTTGGACGACCTGCTGGCGGAAGGAGGAGGAGTATGTGGTAAATTTAATAGCTCTGACTATTGTTTGCAAATAGATGATAATAGTAAAGCCATAACTGAGATAGCTACCAATCTTAGAAAGCTTGCCCATGTCCGGTGCAAAAATGGCAAGGCATAAAAATTGGCAATTGGTTTGAAAACATGTTCTCTGGTCTGAGAGGATTTAAGTACATTATTGGATCTGGAGTCCTGTTGATGGGATCCTGTCTTATCCTCCCTTGCATAGTCCAAATAATTAAGAATGCCATTTCTGAGTTTGTGGAAACAGTTGAACGAAAAACCGCGGGCCCATACAGTGTTAATGTGCCGATTAAGGATGATGATGCTCGAGACCCATAAAAGGGTTAAGCATCAAAGGGGGGAATGTGGCAGAGAGGGGGCTGGCAGCAGTTAAAAGTATTCCTTTTAAAAACCAATGGACAAGTTTTGAAAACCCGCCAGACCAGTCTTGTTTGAGCAAAACCAAATAGCCAAGGACTGAGGGCTTTCATGGACATGCAAAAAGGTAACTAATTCACAGACTTATCCAAAACCCCTCTTTTGAAGTGGATGGTTTACAACCCTACTCACCCTGCATTTCCTGGAGAACATTGGTTCTTTGAAAGATCTTATTTTGCTGAATACAACCTTGTAAATTCCAAAGAAAATGTGTAATCGCTCAACATGACTCCCCTCCCTTACCTAAACAAAGATATATGACCCCTCTTCTCCTGTTCTGGGGGCTCGACCTGGAAGCGTTAGCCCGTTGAGCCCACCAGCATAATAAAGTTGCCACTTCCTATAATAGTCTCAGTGTCACGGCCTCTCTGTCTTCCCGCTACAAATCCTTGTATAAAACAAATGCAAACTTTTTTCAAACTTGTATAAAACAAATGCAAACTTTTTTTTTGAAAAACGAATTCTCGGCTCATTATTTCACAGATGCTGAGTCTATTAGCATGACCCCACTGTCCTTTATTTTTATTTTTATTCTTAGCTTCCAATTCGCTTCAGTACACTAGTCATAATAAACTCCCCTGATTTAGAATCGATCAGCAGTATCCTGTTTTCTTCCCCTCATATTCACTGTGGCAGGAGGCATCACTGCCCACTGGCAATACTGAGTCCTCCTCCACTTCCAGACACCCAGGAGAATCCACTTCTCTGTCTACTTGATGCCAGGCATGCCTACGTGGCTTTCTCTGGCCAAAGAAGTGTGAGCAGAGGGAATGTGTCCTCCCCGGCACATGGAAGCCTCAAGAGCCCTTCACCAACTCCTCTTCTCTTCCCTTCACTAAAGCAACTAACAACCTCCAGAGGGGGGGGCACGGTATCATCCGGGGTCCCTAAATGAGGAGCCCTGTTCCTGCCCATTCTGATGGACACATGAGACAAACTAACTTGGGCCTTTGAAGTCACTGAGATTTGGGGACTGTTATCAAATCACAGCCTAAACGCTCCCAACGAATCGAGCCTTCCTCGCTCACACAAGGAAGAGAGGAATGTCGGGAGATTTTGAGAACTTGCACGTTAGGCAAGGGAGAAGGGCGCGGAGCCACAGAGCAGAAGAGCAGCTGGGGAGGGATGCGAGGTGAAGAGTGAAGGCAGGAAGGCCACCCGACGCGGCGGGCCTGTCTAGGGCTGACTGGCCGAGCAGGGACACTTTTCCTTGCATGACTTAGTTTGGCTTTTTGTTTTTCGGAGCCGGAGTCTCACTCTGTCGCCCAGGCTGGAGGGCAGTGGCACGCTCCTGGCCACCGCAGCCTCGACCTGCTGGGCTCCGGCGATCCTTCTGCCTCAGCCTTCCAAACAGCTGGAACTACAGGCATGTGCCATGATGCCCGGCTAATTTTTTTTTTTTAATTGTAGAGATGAAGTCTCACCAAGTTTCCCAGACTGGTCTCGAACCCGTGAGCTCAGGCAATCCTCTCACCTCAGCCTCCCAAAGTGCTGGGATTACAGGCTTGAGCCACTGTGCCCGCCTGTTTTGTTTTTTTAAATTTGTTGGTTACAGTATTCAACCTGTCTCCAAATAGAGAGAGAGAATGGCTGGGTAAATAAACACTCTTTTACAAATGCAGGCAGTTTTAGGAATATTAAGAAGTCTGTAGTGGCTCATACCTGTTACCCCAGCACTTTGGGGAGGCCAAGGCAGGAAGACTGCCTGAGCCTGAGTTATCAACACAGCCAGAACTGAGTTATCAACATAGCCAGACCACAAGGTCAAAAAATTAGCCGGGCGAGGCGGCATGCTCCTGAAGGATTGCCTGAGACCAGGAGGTTGAGGTAGCAGTGAGCCAAGATCACGCCACTGTGTTCCACCTTGGGTAACACAGTGAGAGCACAACTCAAGAAAAAAAAGTTTGTTCATACCTTAGTGAGAGTGAACTACTTCAACTAGATTACCTTCTCCCTTACAGTACATTTACTCAAGAAGAGGGAGCATGGTATAAAGGAAAAGGCACCACTGGAACACAGTGGATTTCAGGGTAGAGCACTGTGGAGTAAGCAAATATTGCAGAGCAATATGAGGGCAGTAAGAATGGAAGAATGGGCTGGGCTCAGTGGCTCAGCCTGTCATCCCGGCACTTTGGGAGGCCGAGTCGAGAGGATTGCCTGAGCCCGTGGGTTCAAGACCAGCCCGGGCAACTTGGGGAGCCCTCATCTCTACAATAAATCAAAAATTAGCCAGGTGTGGTAGTGCACACCTGTAGTTCCAGCTAGTTGGAAGGCTGAGACGGAAGGATTGCAGGAGCCCAGCAGGTCAATGCTGGGGTGGTCGTGAGCGTGCCACTGCACTCCAGCCTGGGCGACAAAGTGAGACTACAATTCAAAAAAAGAACAGGAGAATGACCAAAGCTATTTGGCAATAACTTGACAACATGTCTTTCATGGTTCTGGGTCAGTCATTTGTGTCACTCAAGGGACAAAGAGCCTAACCTAAAGTCTGTCTCTCTAGTGTAGTAGTTAAGCAAACAACGTTGAAGCCAGAAAGCCTGGGGTTTGAACCTGACCTTTGGCACTTACTTGAGCTCCACACCTCTCTTGTATACTAAATATTGGGTCAGATTTACAAGTTAAGTCTAAAAGAGACTGCTGCTCAATAAAATCAAACTGTTTTTCCACCAGCATGTAAGTTCCTTGAGAACAAGAATTTCTGTTGATTTTGTTCAATGCTATATCCCAGTGCCTAGAACAGTGGCTGGCACATAGCAGGAATGCTAGAACTAGTTGTTGAAAGAGTTAACTCAGCAAGCTTAGACTTATCAAACCTTGAACATTCTCAAGAAAATCCTGTTTTCATGACCGGCTGCTGGTTGGCTCCTGAGAACAGAACAATCAGAATCTCCTGTCTGATCAGTGTTTCTGCACACCTGAGGCCTTGCGCCACTACTGTCTCAAGTTTGCCCAGTTTATCCTAACAGAGTGATTGATAAACACCTGCTATTCTCTGGCAATCTAGAGCCTGAATAACTAAGGTCAATTTGCATGCCTACATGACTGATAAGGACGATATGCTGAGTCCTGAGAGTCTTTTTAGCAAATCCATGGACCTGAGGGTGGTCTTGGGCACTCCTAGCACAGTTTCTAGAGATATTCACCTAATATCATGACACCAGGAGTGTCATCAAATACATATAAGTTAAGCAACTCCGTTACCTTTGTGCTCTCATCCTGATCTGGCATCAGCTTTCTTTTTTTACTTCTGCTGTGAAATTCCACCACTTCTACTTGTCGTCTGCTGTTCTTTAAGGGAGAGGGAGATACTGCAGCAGTAGGGACTTCGGGTCCTGAAGAAGGACCCGTGGGAGTGCCGGCAGCACACTGCAGCTCTTCTCTGAGTTTCTTGAAGAAGCTGGAAGCACTCTTCTGGTTTCTTACAGGAGAACCAGGCAGGACAGCTGGCTCTGCTGCCAAGGCCATGGAAGTTCCTATATGTCTCCTCTTGTTTTCCCTTTTCTTCCTGATTCTCTTCTGTTCTGTTTCATCTTCTGTCTCTCCTGTTTGTTCAAACACAGAAAGGAAAATGTATTTTCAGTTTTAGCTATTGCCAGTATAAAATAATATGAATGTACTTATGTATAACCCATGGCTATAAGGACCCTGAAGCACATACGAAGAAATCAACTATTTATTTTTCTTCAAAGAGGGTGCTTCTGCGTAATTTACAGAATCCAAAATGTAGTCACCTGTTCCTGGGTAACTGTATTTGTGTCTCCAACCCTTTTCAGCACAGCTACTTTAGTCCTCACCTTGGTCTTACCTCAAAGTGTCATCACAGCAACAGTTCCCAGACTAGTAATCCCAACGGGTTCACATTTTATGCTAAAAACATCAGGTACTGCAGCCAGTGTTTCTTCTGAACACTTTCTATGGTAACAAGATTGTCACAGTCTTCCTATTTCCTTTCATAGTTAGGAATTAAAATGAGCCTAAGACAACTGGCTCAATTTGCATGCCTTTATTTTCTACTGAATGCCCTTATCTGCTATTTCACCTGTTCAAACTCTGACCAGTCACCTCAAAGTTCCAACCTAAGCCTCATTACTCGTGGTACAAATACCACAGAGCTCTCTAAATATCAGTTGATGACTTACGCTTGCTTCTATTTTATTTAACCCTTTGCACTCAGAGACATCTCACAGACCACCTACCAGCAACTCGACTGACTGCATTTTTATGAAATGGTAAAAAACAAATCACCTCATATTAAATAGTATAGTGCTGGAAACAATTATTGCACTGTAATGATATTCAGCCTATAATGGAATTTTGAGCATTAAGGAACTTACTTATGATCAAAAAAATCAAAATGTTATATCTTATATTTTCCTAACGTGTGGTAATGACATGCATTGCAGGTCCACAGTGACATGTACAATAGTAATCTGTTTGGCATCTTTAACCTGGTGTTTTCCTAGTCAGGCAAACAACATACTTGTTTTCTTCCTCCCACATTCATATGTAACTTACTGACAAGTCTGTTGCTTGAAGACATGCAAGGACGGACTCGTGATTCCTGAAAACCACTTCTCAACTGATCATATCTCAGTATGTATGCCATCTCTTTGCTTTTTTGTGTAATTTGAATGGAAAACTTCAAGGAAACATACATTTTCTTTAAAAAATTTGGGCTGACTTACGTTTGTCCTATTTAACCACTAGCAATTTCTCTATGTCCCTTTAGAGGGGACATCTGAGTGGTTTGCTAGATTTACAATGTCCCTTCAGAGGAGGCATCCGAATGCAAAGGGTTAATAGTTCACTTGACAAACACTTATTAAGAGCCAACTAGGCCAGGCATGGTGTAACCCTCACCTGTAATCCCAACACTTTAGGAGGCCAAAGCAAGAGACGTGCTTGAGCCCACATGTTTGAGGCCAGCATGGACAACATAAGAAGACCTCATCTCCACAAAAAGTTTTTAAAAATTAGCCAGGTGTGGTGGCATGTGCCTGTAGTCCCAGCTACTCGGGAGGCTGAGGCGGAAGGATCACCTAAGCTCAGGAGGTTGACTCTGCTGTGAGCTGTGACTGTGACACTGCACTCCAGCCTGGGTGAAAGAGACTCTGATTTAAAAAAAAAAAAAGTCAAACAAACTTTGGCATTAGGGATATAAAATGAGTGGACACATTCCATGCCTTCAGAGCTCCCAGATCATGATTTCCAGCCTGTTGATATCAAGTACATTTAGGATTTTGAAGAACAGTCTTTTCCACTAGATTTTAAACTTCTCAAGAACAGAGGCTAAGTCTTCTCTGTCCTCCAGTATTTCCAAGGGCAAAGAGACGCTCTGTCCGAAGCTCAAACTAATACAAGTGCAGGATCTAGGGTTAGACTGTGTGGGAATCGGCTCCGCAAATTACCAGCTAGGTGAACTCCAGCAGTTTTATTAACTCTAGAGCTCCTTTCTACATTTGCAGTCATGGGCTTGCTGACAGCGTCTATTTCATAAGGCAGTTGTGAAAATTAAATGAGTAAATACACGAAAAGCAAGTATATGGCAAGCTCTCAATACCTCCAAGCTATTATTCACACTATTTTAGGTGAGCTCAGAATTTTGAGCAGTCGCTCCAAAACAAACGTAAGAAAGCTTTTGCAATACCAGGCTGTAATTTTAAGAAACGTGCTTGGTCCTAAAAGGCACTAAGGTCTAATGATTATCGTTGGTGCACGTACAAGGGGTGTCAGCCTCCGCGTGGCAAGTTTTTCAGAGGGTGAAGGACTGTCTTCTCAAGTGCCAAGCGACGGCCAAGCTTTATCAATAGGCTCCTTTACTCGCCTCTTCCCCCATCAAGATAAAGGAAAGGGAGCAGAAGGTCGGCTCACTTGTGGGGGGAAAAAAAAGTTCTCTGCCGTCCTCCGCGAGGATCGCACCGGGGTGAGGACGGCGAGTGGCCCGACAACACGCCCGAGGCATCGGCCCGACAGGACGCCCACGCAGCGGGACCTGGGAGGTCTGGGGCAAGGGGGCCAGCGGCTTCCCAGAAGTCCGGGCATCGTGGGAAAGTGGGCTATTTCGAAAGGCCGAGGCCCCCTGTCCGTCGCTCCGCAAGTCTGAAAGCCGGCTGCTTCCGACCAGCCACGCGTTCGGCCCCCACCCCGGGGACGAGGCGGAAGGCTTGGTCCGCAGCCCAACAAAGCCCGCAGGGAACGCGGAGGCGGGGCGACTGCCCTTGGAGGAGCGCGTTCTGCACCCCCGGCCCC